ACATAGGTGCATTTTGTTTCCCAAATATCAGTTGCCCATTATTTGGACCAAGATTCCACATGAATCTTTCCAATGTGTGGGAAACAAATATTTTGACAGAAGGGTAGGTCAAGCATTCACAAACAGGAATCAAACTGCATAGGAAGTATTTCCCAGAACCAATACCTGGGATCAGTTCTTATTGAAAAGTTTCTGCATGTCAAAAGTAACCTCTTGCATAGTGAAAAGGAAACCCACAAACTGGGAAAACATCTTAGTGAAGTGTCTCTCAGACAAAGAACTTCTTTTTTTGAGTTTTAAAAAAAAATTATTTAAGGAGAAAAAGAAAAAAAACAGAAAAAGGGTACAAGTTATACAGAATTTCAGATAAAATAAACAGCAGGAAATCACGAGTTGATAGATTATATATTGTCATTTTAGAAATAGTTGTTCAAGTTACAAAATTAAAGCATAGTGGACATTGAAACAGTGAGACTGCAGTTTTGTTCAATGATCCAACAAAACTCAGTAATATGGTTATTTATCTTATATACTTCAATATGCATGCAGTTATATCCTTTAGAGCACTTTATTTTCCTCTCTTTTTTACAATGACACTTACACATTTTGAGTTTTATTACTCCCATAGTTCTTACTTCTTTTGAAGAGAGTAAAACCAAATGTTAAAACAAAATATGAGGTGATCAACAATGGTTACCATAATGCCTCTTGCTATCTTAAAAAGAATTGCCTATATCATCAGTTATAATAAAATTGAACAAAACATTAAAGAACAAAACAAATAAAACAAAAACATTGGAGACATTACAGGACTTCAAAAGACGATAATAGTCAACCAGAATGGGCATTATAATGAATCTTATTGTCTTCACAGTTGTTGCCTATACTTTCGAACTTGGTACTATCAAGCAAAACAGAATAGAGGAAAAATCAGTCAAAATAAGATGGTGAGAGCAATACAGGGTTTCAAATCAAGTTAATATGAAATCAAAGTGGGTTACTATAATATATTCTGCTATTTTTTAATTTATTTTTCCATTAATTAAAAAGGTAAAAAAGTAAATAATAAAAAAGGAGATTGAGATAAAAGAGGACATAACAACAAAACAGCACAGGTCAAAACGTAACCATTTAAGCAAAATAGTGTTTCACCACCAGATATCCCGACATAAAAGTAGTTAACATAGTGACTTTTTCCTTGAAATCTTTGAGTATAACTTCTTGTACTATAGCATCAAACATATCAAGACAATGTAAAATCATTCAAGAGAATGACAGGATTACAGGGTATTTAGAATTAACTAGCAGAAAATGAACAATGGTTTCTTTATAATCTCCTTGTCTATAAAAGTTTTTGTTTATATTATCACATATAATAAAATCCAATAAGATACAACATGTTAAGACCAATGGAGACAGAAGAACAAAAGCTTGATGGGACTTCAAAACAAGATGATATTAAATCAGCACTAGCTATTATGATGTCTTGTCTTCTCCAAAATAGCTCTTCCTACCATCGAAGCTTCTCTGCCTCATTTCTGTTGAGCTCTTTTTCTATCATTAGTTGTCAGTTTGTCTTCTTCATTTCACTTTCTGCTCCAATCATTGTGGCATCTCTGCCACTGTTTCTGGAATCTTGGTATTTGTCTTTTTTAGAATATCCTGCAGTATTCTCTGTAGAGTTGAATTAGTGGCTGCAAATTCCCCTAGTTCCTCTTTATCCTGGAAGCACCTTGTTTTTCCATCAATTTCTAGGGACAGTTGTGCAGGATATATCAATCTTGGCTGGAGATTATTATCTTTCAAAGCTTGAATTATTTCCCCCCACGCTTTTTGTGATTTGATGGTTTGTGCCACGAAGTGTGCTGTAATTCTGATGGGTGTTCCCTTGTAAAAGATCTGTTTCTTGTCTCTGATGGCTTTTAATATTCTGTTCTTAAATTGGATTTCTGGAATTTTGATTATTGTATGCCTGGGTGTAGCTCTATTTGGGTTGTAGGTGACTGGGGTCCTGCATACCTCATACATCTGAGTATCTTTACCTGTTGCTAAACTAGGCAAATTCTCCTGAATTATTTCTGTGAATAGCCTTTGTAGTTTATTTATTTGTATCCCTGCTTCTTCTTTTACATTCTTAATTCTTAAGTTATAGATCCTCTTATCATATTCTAGCCTTTGTATTATTGCTCTTTGTTTCCTTGTTATTTTTAAGAAGTTTTTCAATTCATGCTCCCACTTTACAAATCTGTCCTTCAGTTCAGCTAATCTATCCTTAGTTTCTTTCAGGGTATTATGCCAGCTTTCAATAGAGTTTCTAGTTTCCTGGTAATCTCTTTGAACCTGTTTCATATATTCTATGTTTTCTCTATTTTCTCTATCAAACAATTTCCCCCTTTTTTTCTGTTCTTCCATTCCACCATCTGTTTTTTCTATGGCAGTGCTTAGCATTTCTCTAACTATTCTACTTATATCTTGCCTTATTTCATTAAATACTTCAGTTTTGAACTCATCTATGAGACTCCAGAGATAACGCTTTATTTCTATTGGTGCCGTGTCTGATATTTCATGTTTTCTGTTCTCATTCTCCTTTGCATTTACCTTTCCTGGATCAGTGTTCTCAGGATTGCGGACTGAGGACACTTTCTTGTTGCTCCCTCTTCTCATACTTTTTCTTCCTTCCATACAAGTGTATATAGGAGGCCCAGTTTTCTTCTTTGTTGGTTGCAGTTTGTTTGAATTCACCAGCTTGTTGTTCCTGCCCACTGCAGTGTACTAGGGAGACACAGACCTGGGCAGCCTCTGCTGGGCCCACCCTCCTGGTGGGCTTCACTGCTAGGGTGCACCACCAGGTGCAGGGACCTGGTTTGGGCTAGCCTACTGGGTCTTAATCTGCGACGTTACCCAGGCCAAGTGTTCCACCACCAATCCTGCTTGAGATGAGAATATGTGACTAAAGTCACTGCAGCCTCCTGTTCTGGCTAGTCTGCTCACTCCCAGAATGTCCTTTGTTGGGGCCTCCTAGTCTATGAAAGGGTCCCCATTCCCCTCACTCACTGCAGGTCGATGTAGGGCTCCCTGCCAATCCTGCTCTCAACTCTGTTCACCAATTCCCACTCTCAGATGTTTCACCTCTCTGTCCTTGCTGTGCCGATTCAGATGCAGCAGTAGCAGCAAGAAATTCAAATCCTGGTTTCCAGAGGCGTGGGTTTCAGTTTTGGCACTGAGATTTTATCTGTTCTGGCTATAGCACCAGGATTGCATTTCCAGTTAGTTTCTCTCTGCTTAGTTCATTCCTGGGTCGACAGGGTATATCTGCCCTTTCTTAGGACTCCTCACACCACACCATTCCTGGATTCTATGCTGGCTGTCTCAGAGAGCCTCCATAGCTGCTGTTATCTATCTGCCATGTCCTCCCAGAAGTCGACAAAGATCTTCTGTCTAAAACATATAAAGAATTAAAAAAATCATACCCCCAAATTTCAAATATCCAATCCAAAAATGGGTATCTGAGATGACTACACTTCACTTCTCAGTTGAAGTAATACAAATGGCAAATAAATACATGAAAAAATGTTCATCATCATTACTCATTAGACAAATGCAAATTGAATCCATGTTGAGATTCCATCTCACTCCATAAAGAATGGCCAGGATCAAGAAAACTACCAACAACAAATGGTGCAGAGGCTGTGGTGAAAAAAGGAACTCTCCTGCACTGTTGGTGGGAGTGTAGACTGGTTCAACCACTGTGAAAGTCAGTCTGGAGATTTCTCAAAAACCTGGGATTGGAAGTCTCATTTGACCCAGGTATTCCATTTCTAGGCAGATTCCCAGAAAAACTGAAAACATCATACCACAGTGATATATGTGCACCCATTTTTATGCCAGCACAATTTGTAATAGGCAGAACTTTGAAACAACCTAAGTGTCCATCAACTGTGGAACTGATAAAATATTGTGGTATTTTTAAACAATGGAGTACTACTGAGCTATAAAGAATGATCATATTGAGATATTTATAAATATTGGGCACAACTTGAGACCATACTGACAAATGAAATGAATCAAACTCACATATGTTAACACTGTATAGTCTCCCTAGTGTAAGAAATGGTAAGGAAACATAAACGTATATGGTAATCATGATTCCCCATTATATTGCTCTGAAGCCTTATAATGTTTTCATTCATTAGTTGGAATGTTTTTATACTGGGTTATTTGGTTTTATTGTCTGTGATGGTTTGAACAGCCATTGTGAAGAAAACAAGACATTATAGTAGCCAGTGCTGATTTAATATCATCTTGCTTTGAAGTCCTACCATGCTTTTGTTCTTCTGTCTCCTCAGTTCTATCGTGTTGTATGTTACTGGATTTTATTATGTATGATAGTATAAACAAACTTTTTTATGGACAAAGAGATAATATATTAACCATTGTTTGTTTTCTGTTAGTTGGTTCTAAATGCCCTGTAATACCTTCATCCTCTTGAATGGTTTTATACAATTTTATTATGTTTGATACTATAATGTATGGCTGTGTACTCGTGAATTTCAAGGAAAGAGACATTATGATATCTACTTTTATGTCAGGTTGTCTTGTGATGAAATTCTATGTTGCTTAAATTGTTCTGCTCTTATCTGTTTTTTATGTCCTCTTTTATCTTAATCTTTTAAAAATAAATTTTGCAAAAAATTTCTTAAAATGTGGGCTGGGGATTTAGCTCAGTGGCATAAGTGTCTGCCGTGCAAGCAGGCAGTTGCGAGTTTGATCCCCAGTACTGATAAAAAGGAAAAAGACAAAACAAATTTCTTAAAATGTGAGGTAAATTATTATTCCACAGGCATGGTCTATCTCATAATGTTTTCTATAATAATTTTCTCTGCTTGATAAATTTAAAGTATTAATCATTCAGTTGAACTCTAAGGTTTGTATGTGTTCTAAGAGCTCAATTTTTCTGCCCTACAGAAATTGTAAGAATCAGAAGTTGTTAAAATTGCACTATGAATGCCAATTTGATTTTTGCCAGCATTAGCCAGCACACTACCAGAAACCTGCACTTCAGATGTGTGACTATCTCTAGCAACAATGAATTCACCTCTAATTGCTCATGAAAGCCATCAGATAAGAATTTAGATGTGATACCTATTCTCTGCTGCATAAAGTTTATAATTGGATTTCTAATTAATACTGTTGTGTTTATGCTGCCTTGTTGTCAAAAGGGACATAGAAAGGTTTCCAGAATTTATATCTTCAACTTGGCTGTGGCTGACTTACTCCTCTTGTCTATTCTTCCTCTCTGGGAAATCTATTATTCTTACAAATATGCCTGGCCCTTTGGACTTGTGATATGCAGTTTTCTGTTCTTTTCTGACCCTGAACGTGTTTGCAAGCATTTTTTTTTACTACCTCCATGAGTATTGTATCAATCTGTCATCTACTCCTTTCTGTAACAAAGAAGAAATCCATGGCAAGTAGCTCACAAAGTTTTCCTTGTTTGGTGTATGGCCTAACTCTCTTCATTTCCAAAGTTTTATTTCCAAGATGTCAAAATCATTGAATACTTAGGAATGAATGCTTGCATTATGGCTTTCCCACTTGAGAAATATGTCCAATGGTCTGCTGGGATTGCCTTAATGAAAAATATCCTTGGTTTTAGTATTGCTTTAATATTCATAGCAACATGCTACTTTGGAATCAGAAAATACTTATTAAAGACCAATAGCTATGGGAAGAACAGAATAACCAGTGACCAAGTCCTGAAGATGGTAGCTTCTTTTTTACTGGCATTCATCATTTACTGGCTTCCCTTCCACATCGTGACTTTCTTGGACGCTATGGCTTGAATGGCCATCATTGATAGCTGTGACGTGATAACAGTCATTGATTTGGTTCTTTCTTTTGCTATCCTTCTGGAATTCACCAACAGCTGCATTAATCCTTTTCTATGTTTTTTTTGAAACCACTTCCAACAGAAGCTCCGAAGTATGTTTAGGGTTCCAATTACTTGTTTCCAAGGCAAGAAAGAAAATATGTCTCACAGAAAAGGTAATTCTTTTTGAGAAATGACACTTTTGTTTCTTAAACAGGAGTCTAATGCATATTATCAATGTGACAACTTGTTTAGAGGCTCACCTGGTTTATCTTTAAATGGCTTTTGTAATATAATAATTCCTCTTAGTCTTTTCTCACTCTTCTCAAACAGAAAACCAGGTATAGCTGCACACTTTACCTTCCAGTGACTTTCAGAAGTTATCCATTTTGTTTTTGTTATATCAGTGAAGATTGTTGTTTTGACACATATCCATAATCTAGAAGTAACTGGGGATTTAAATCAAATTATAATGAATACTAACTTGTGAATAATGACTTGAGATTTCAGATTTATTCTTGAAAAATATTTTCATTTTTAATGGGGTTTTGTAACCATTTTCTTCATACTTTCTTGCCTCTTGGTCAAAGACTAATTTTAGCTTGTGGCATTATGTGCAAGACAACTTGGTAAGATGAATAAGCACTAAGCTGAGTATAATGCACTATTCTAAGTTGGCTGCACCATAATATATTGGTACTGGATTACTCAGGATTTAGGTGTATACAGTATGTTCTACTTTTAAAGAAATTTTAGGTCCCATTCCTTTTAGTTTCAGTTGAGCCTAGTTTTATACTTAAGATCTAGTTATATATTGAGAGGGGTTAGAAATATAGATTAAACCACACTCACTCTTGTATTTTAGTTTATTTTTATAATTATATAAAGTAAAATGTATACTAAAACAGAGTTGCTATTAACAAATGAATGCTCACCAAACTCTGAATATATAATTTAAATTTTTTCTATCCATGTTAGCTGTCAGGTAAGTGTCTCTGTATTTTCTGATAACTGTTGAAAACAATATATGATGGTGTGCATATATATAAAATGCAAAGGTTACTTTTTACATATTTGACCTTTTGAATGTGGTGCTTAGATATCCATGAATTGATTTGATTTTAATTATTGCATTTTGGATTTCATCACAAAACACCTAGGTGGAGTCTTTACCTTGTAATGAATTCTAAACTGTCACAGGAAAAGGTTATGCCAGAATAAAATTGTGATACCCTTTGGGTGACAAAGAGACTCAGTAAATAATAAGCTTGATGTAAAACTAAGGACCTGTCAGCTGGGACAGTTCAATGTGGCTTTTTCAATGTAGACTTTAGGTGGTAGTTTTAACCCATTTCTATTTTTAATGTTTATTATTGAATCTATAGGATTTTGTGAAGGAATTGGAAACTGAATTCTGTTTCAAAGAGTTTTTTCTTAACACTATTATAATTCTTAAATTAGAGGAATACGTGGAATTGACTGATTTACCTAAACTTGACTCAGATTAGGGTATGAACCTTAATTTTAGAAGTTCATCGTTTTACTCTGTACTAGCCTCATATTGTGCCAAGTTAAGTAGGACTTTCTAGACCAATGGTGATCAGTGGAGTAGAATTAGTTTAACATCTTCACTAGATTCTGGAGCTATGAATTGAAGAGATCTCTCACATCATTTTCTGGGGAAGTTTTACTTTCATATAATCACAGTATTTTCAATAAGAATATACAGCTAAATGGATAATCAACTCTAGCTTACTTTTAAAAACATCTCATACAAATAAAATCTTTAATCAGAAATTCATGTGTACTTATTATCTTTTTGTTTTAACTCTCTCCAAGTATAGATTTCTACCTTCTCTTATATCAGTATCCTGCATCCAATTCCCACTAATACTTCTTAGTTTCAGCTTTCATAATTACTTACCTAGCCCTATGCCGTACTTTGCCAGTTTCCAAGTATTCAGCTATTATTTCCTACTGACTAGGAAAACAAAATTCACATTTCTTATCAGAATCAGTGTAACTTTAGATATCTATGAATTGATTTGATTTTAATTATTGCATTTTGGATTTCATCACAAAACACCTAGGTGGATTCTTTACCTTGTAATAAATTCTAAACTGTCACAGGAAAAGGTTATGCCAGAATAACCAGAAGATCTGACATTTTGCAGCCTCTCTAGCATGTTTTCCTCTGTTATTCTTTGTTTGCATCATATATTCAAATGCCTCTAAATGATTTTTTTACTGCTTTTAAGGCCTAATGATGTTTCATGCCTTTCAGTTTTTGTTTGCACTCTCTGTATTCACTGAACACTACTCCAATTATTTCTCGTGCCCAGGGCCATTCATAAAATTGATGAATACCTATTCAGCTTTCAACATTCAGCTCATGCTGTTTCAACTACCATGATCTTTACTACTATATGTTAATTATATAACCCTGTCCTGGGAGTTCCCTTAGTGAGCATAATTGCTTCTATAGTTCTTGGGATTTTAAGCTTGCCTGCTTCTTCCATAGGAGCTTAGTTTTGATCCTCAAGTAGTAGTTTTCCCAGTGTTTGTTTCTTTCCTAATTCAAGGCCCCAGGACCATATAAAAACAGTAGTGATGATAGTGCTAACATTATTAATGAGGTAAGAATTGTGTGGTAGGCACTAAACATTGGAAATGCATTATCCCATTTTTCCTCAGGTGAGTTATCATTTTATAAATAAGGAAACTATGGTACAGGTGTGTCATGATCAATCTTTACATTTGGTTCTGACAAATGACCTTAATCCCAATAGAAGTATTTAGTATCTTAAATCTGTTTCCTAGGCTACAAAACAAGTATTGTAAAAACAGTCTTACCCAGTGTTTCAAACTTCATCCCTAACCTTGGCAATGTAAGGGCTGCTCCACAGCTGGTATATTTTCATGAAGAAAAACAGACGACAATCTGATGTTAAGCATGTTGTTTTTATTTTCTTATCCCCCCCATAAGAATCTAGGGTGGGGAACTGTCTGATGACCTAATATATCATGTATCAGCGAAAGAAAACTCCAAATTTGACAAGGCATATAACATGAGGTGACTAGAGCAAAAAAAAAAAAAAAAAAAAAAAAAAAAAAAAAAAAAAAAAAAAAAAAAAGAAAGCCTGAGGAAATAAGAAAACATAAGCTTATTTTGTTAATTGTCAGATAAACTATATAGCAATGATTATTCACATAAATAAATTAATAAGCTGTCATTAAAAGTCATCCCTTCTTCTTTAAAAGACCAACAGCCTAGAGTTGAGTAACTTACAAGCATAAAAATACTTAATAAGCATTAGTATCCAGGGAAAGAAAATATTTCTTTTTGAAATTTTTTTCCAGGATAAGAGAAAATTCTTTTTTTTTTATTGGTACTGGGGATCAAACTCATGACCACTTGCTTGCAAGGCAGGTGCTTATGCTGCTGAGCTAAATCCCCAGCCCCCAGAAAATTCTTTGTAAGATTAGAAATAACTGGCATGTATTTCTTATTACACAGTTAATATTGATTTAGTATCTTAATTCTGCTTCCTAGGCTACAAAGCAAGTATTATAGAAAGAAAGATACTTATTTTAAATGTAGTTAAAATTTAGCTACAGAGATAATTACTATTAGCAGCATGGGGCAATTATAGATACAGATACAGACTACTATAGGTACAGATACATGTATACAGAGTCTGCCAAAAAGTGTATGCATACTTCAGGAAAAGAAAAACTTGCAGAAATATTTTAATATTAATTTTATTAACATTAATAAGTTATATATAATTAATATAAATATTAATTAATTTTATTAAGACATGAGATTAATACAAGTTACCTTTGTTTTCTATAATTTCAAGAGGTGATCAGACCACTAGATTCCAGGCATTTATTAGTATGGCGAACTGCTGCTTGAATAACCTTGGTCACTGAGATTGCTGCAGATGCATTTTCAATTTCTTCTCCAAGGTCCAGCAGCACAGTGGATTTTCTACAATATATGACAACCTCTAGTTTTCCATATGAGAGTAACATCATCTATTGAAAAAACATCACACAATGTTTATTTGAAGTCCATACACATTTTTGTGGATTCTGTATATATGCACATATATATGTATATACAGACACACATACATAAGTTATTTTGTTTTTTCTTCATCCAAATCAATGCTTCCTTTTCTTTTTCTTTATTATCTATCAGCTATGCATGTTCTTCATCAACCTCTGGTAGAGTTCTTTCAATATTTAAAATATTTTTGACCCTATGCTCCTACCTGCTTTACTAAATTTTTTCCTTCTGGCTTCTCATCTCTTGTAAATCCAAAATTTTAAGGGTTTAAGCAATCCAAGAGATCATACCTGGTTACTATTTTTCAGTGAGAAAAATTGCTAAAATATCCGATAAATCCACTGGCTCATTCTGTGCATTTTTGTTAGATTGCTTAGCAGTCAATCCATAAAAGATCACATGGTTCAGTAATTTGGTGCAGACTCCTGTCCATTTAAGTACTTTGGAAATAATGTATGTACAACCCACCTGATAAAATTATAAGAGAGAGGAAAAAGGAAGACTCTTCCCTTCTCTAGTGTTACACTCACTCATTTTTTAACTGATGCATCCTATAGTAGACCTGGGCTCAAATACATATTTTTGTGCATATCTACGGAGCCAAGAGCAATCAGTAGAAATGCAGGAGAAGTAACATACCATGCCAGAAATCAATCTTCTCCATTCTTAAATGAACCCTTCCTGTGTGTCTTCCTTTGAAGTTGCATTTCAAAGTCAATTAGAATGCATATGCCTGTTTGAAGAGTGGGAGAGTAGTGGGGCTGATGCTGCTTCTTGATGGCATTAGGAAGGACTATCTGTATATAAGTGACACAGTAACAACTCTGAACTTCTTGTTATTCATTGCCTTCCTTTTATAATCTCTCTCTTTCCCCCAACCACAAACACATTCCAGTATGTACAAGAAGTAATTGGCACAGATCCACTGGACTGAAAAATTGGAATCATCAGACAATGCTAGGGCTCCAAATTTCAAGTTACAATTTTGTCATAAAATAATGGAGCTCTGGGCACTGTATTTTTTAAAAATCAAAGGATCATTAGAAGGATAAATTCCTTAAAATTGTTATACTTTGATGCTTCTTGATGTTGTAATGGCTTGGAATATTTGTGGG